TATATAAATATAAAAATATAATTGTATATCCTTGTAAAGGAGAGAAAAAAAACAGCGAGCTGTAATTTTATACAGAAAAATTGAAAATTACTGTAAACGTCTAAAAGGAAACGGGGAAGAGATGCAAAGATTTCATTATCATAAAACAATACAATACAAAAAAAGGAAAAACATTAAGTGGGAGGCACACAATGTTTTTTTTTTATTTTCAGAAATAGAGGTGCAACTAGAATGTGAGGCATAAAAGGCTTCAAGTGGACTTTTAACCAACAAACGCTGGAGGCACACATTTTGGGGGTGGAGCCAATAACAAGTTAATTCAGTATTTGTGACATCACAGAGGCTTAAGGCACTTTGTGTCGTTAGTTTCCAGGCACCTGAATAAGGATCAACCCACAAACTGGCCACCTCCATCACTCTGCTGATGAGACCCCATGAAATGTCACATTCCCTGCAATTATTTGTGCTCTTGGCTCCTATTACCAAGTAATATTCATTCTTAAATATTCAAGCTATGGATTTTCCTAAATATTTCATTTGACAAAGTTAGGCAAATCCGTGCTCACATTATAGATGTATACTATAAATATAGACAGCCCCCACCTTGTCATTTCAACTTGTTTTTTGGTTTTAAAAGTATAAAGAAAATAGGAATTGCACTTAAAGTAAAATTAAAAACAATACGGTCTTCACCATCAAACACACACAGGTGGCTTATACATACAATCACTGCTAAGATTCTGTGCCACAAATTTCAATGAGCGTGTGGTAGGAACACTTGCATTACTGAACACTATGAGACGAATTTATCAAAACTGAAGCAGACAAAATCTGTAGCAGTTGCCCATGGCAACCAATCATCTTCTCTCTTCAGTTAGTTCAGTTAGGATTTGAAAATGAAAGAGAGAAGCTGATTGGTTGCTGTGCACAGCTGCTCCAGATTTTGCCTGCTCCAGTTTTGATAAATTCCCCCCTCTGAATATTGCTTAAAGAGGAAATGAGAAACAGCTATCCCAACAGAACTCTGCTAGAGATAACTACTAAATTAAAACATGGAATGCAACATTGTCCTTTTTAATGTGCTCAATACATTTCAGGTAAAAAGTTTTGGAATGTTTTTGGGATCTGTGCACTCTTCAAGAATTTGTTTGCCCAGAGAAGGCCAGAATAATCATCCCCCTTCATTTCCTGGTGTTCTCTATCGCATGAGGCAGTGGCAATAAGGAAGTAGCAGTGTTAGACAATGGCATTGGTTCTGTTTTACAATACTGCCTGCATACAAGTCCCACACAGGTTCCAGTATTGTGAAGAATTAAGGACTTTAACAAAAAAAGAAAGCTGTAGACCCCTAAGGTCCGTGTCAGAGAGAACTGCAGTCTCTTGAGTAGAGTGAAAAAAGGAGTGTGCTCTTTTAAGGAAAGGTGTGAATCTGTGATGTCAAATGGCATAACAGGCCTCAATGTCACCAAACCAAAGTTCAGATGCATAACACTTCTTTGAGGCATCAGTATTAAAGCAACCATGATGACCGAGCTTGACCCCCAAGGAATGAGCAAGGGTTGAGACTTGTTCAATTGTCCCCCTGATGTCCTCTATTCTCAGCTTGAATTTAAAACCCTGAATTTCAAATGCTACCTCTGGACTACATCACTGATCTCTTTTACAGAGGCAAGCAGCTTGCTAAAGTCCTGAGGTGTGGCAGGTCCTCCTCCAGTGGAGACAGCAGCGGGGCAGATTTGAAGATCTCGGAGACTGTTCTCCAGCTTGCTCATGGCTTCTCTGAAAGCGAACTTGTTCCTCATTTGTTGAATAGAGTCCACGTAACTGGTACAGAAAGCGTGTAGGTTTTTGGCAGCCTCAAGTACTGTAGTGTGGCTAGCCATTTGTTCAGAGTTACGGTTGATGGCAGCTCGGAGGCACTCTGTGCTCTCCAATAAAGTCTCCTTTGTGACTGTTCCACTCAGCAGTTTCTCTGGAGGTTGGCGGGTCTTCCGCAAGGAAACTCTCGTGGAAAGGAGGGGAATAAAAGCAGTGGAAGACGTTGCTGGTTGCTGTGCTTGATCGGCTGCTCCTCCTATGCCTGCCTGAGATCCAGCCCTTTTTTCTGAAGGCTGGGGTTTGGTGTTGGACATTAATACTGTCTTCTTGGCAATGTCAGTCACAGAAGAGCTTATTCTTGAGTGCTCCTCGCTCTGGTTTGTCGGTTTGTGCTTAGTTTCACTTGTGCTGGAATCATGACTTGGGGTCTGGGAGGAAAGTTTGGTAGACTTACCCAAGTTAGAGGAGCTGGTGGAAGACAAGGAAGTGGCTGGGCTGGAAAGTAGTAGCGGTGGGCTCGGTTTGACCTTCAATGGTTTAATTTTGTCTTTGTTTTGTGTTTCAGTTGGCTTTAGTCTCCGGAGACGAAGTTCTGCTTCAGCTTTACCTGAACCTGTTGGTTGTCTGACCAAGGAAACCAGGTCTAACCCAGTTTTGATGTTTCCGGTCTCCTCCTTTTGTAATGCAGAAGAGGAAGGGCCACCAGGTTTTCTACGTGGTAATCTAGGTGTAAGGTTGGGTGGACTAGATTCTGGACTTGGTTCTGGGTCTTTAAACACTTCATCCACAGGCTCCTCACCTTTTTTGGGTAAACGAGGAGGTGGTGTGACTGCCCCTCTGGGACATGAAAAGTCTGGTTTGCCTTCATTGCCTCGCTTTCGAGGCAGAGCTGGTTTTTCACTTTTTTGGCTGCTCCCAGAACTAGATACATCCAAATTACACCTGGTTGATGGCATTTCCCTAGGAAGAGTGACTGACCTCCACTCCATGTCTTTGGATCCATGGGGCATACAGGATGCAGAGGAGGATCTTTGAAATCGTTTGCCTGTGTTGCTGTTACTATCCTCTTCACCTGGTGGTGGCTGCCGACCTACCACTGTGCCACACTTTTTCCACTGTGAGGGCAGAAAACTGGTGCTCCCTTGCACTGAGCCATTAGTCATGGCCACACCATTACTTGAAAATTTTAGAGCATCAAGGTCGCCTCCAAAACTGGGATCTCTATTTTCTCCCTCTAAACACCTTTGTTCCATTTCACGAAATGAACTGCTACGTTTGGGTGGGGTAGGAGCGGTCTTCTTTTTCCTTTTGATCAGAGTACTGAAGATATTGTTTTTTTTCTGACTGGGAAACAGACGGTCATCTTCTGGAAGTACACCATCTGTAGCTCCACCTCTCTCCTTGCGAGGCACAAGAGGAGAAACAGCTGGCTCAATTTCCAAGACATCTGAAAAAGATACATACAACTTTCAGAGGCTCCGAAGACTGAATTGCCCTGAGCAAATTCTTACAATGTTACTGCAAAGTACATGAAAAAAAAAAAAAAGGATCGACACTAAGGGCTCTATTTATAAAGGATTCGCTGTGCTGGACATTCATCCATCTGTATTTTACAACATTCAACTATCAATATCAAAGAGGATTCACCCTACTCGCCTATCATTATTAAAGAGGATTCATCCATCAGCATGCAACCTAATAGAGAGAGACCAGTTACAAGATTAACACGTCACACTTTAATTCAAACAGGATTTGCCCATCAGCATTCAACATAATAGATTCCAACTACAAACAAGATTCGTCCTGCACATTTAAATCCAAACCAAACTCACCCGTCAGTATACAACATACAAGAGAGATTCCTGAGAAAATCCTGTGAAAATCACAGCTAATCGTAAAAAACAAATAGATGTCCAGCAAACATTCTCTGTGTGAATTGGACAGCAGATCCTTTATGAATAGAGCACTACGATTTGCTTCACATTGAAAAGATGCTCAAGCCATTTACATGTTTTATAAACTTGGAAATGGCTTGAGCAAAAACATATTTGTAACCAGATCGCCATTTATTAACAGATATTGCTCAGCTACATTGATAAAAAGCAATAAAGTCTATTATCCTAAACATCAGTGCATGCATGCAATGTCAACTGACCCATGTGACATAACGGTTTGTTAAGGATCCCCTTCATATAAGACCTCCATACACAGGGCACCATCCTTCCATGACATTTATAAGGTATGGGTACTTTAACTGGCTTTCCCATGAACTGCACCAGTATACAGGTGTTCCTGGGTGATATTTCAAGTGACTCATGGGGGGTGATTTACTAACCTAACTACACGCACGCACGCACCAGGTGCGTGTGATTTTTACACAGCAAAGCGTATTTATCAACCAAAAAGTCTCTATAAGCATGTTTCCACTAATGCCATATATGGAAAAATCATGCACATGATGCATATATAATGCTGCTTCACAGTTTAGACAAAAATGGTTAGCTCATGCATTTACATTCCTGCATTCATCAACGCAAGCAACACAATGTAGAGCTAATTTACACAACATCACCTTGCAATTCAGGGCAGGGCTTTGCACAACACACCTGCTGGGTGTGTACACACTACAAAGGTGTTTAGATTCCACCCATAGATCATGCTGGGAGGGAACACACTACAGAGGTGTATACATGTTCGTGGTGTGTTTATTAGGTTAGTAAATCAACCCCATTGTATCTGAGCGTTCCCTGGAGCAGCTGGGTATCATATTAGTCTTGAATGAGCAGTAAAAAGCTTAAGAAAACCTAATCAAAAATTCTATGTCCATTATAAAAAATGTTTTTCTGACTAATTGTACAAACTATTTCAAGAAGTGATCAGAAAGAGAAATAGTTTAAATTAACGGGTGAACGCTTTAACTGCAGCAAGTATATTACACCAAGACCAGGCATTAATCATAAAATATGGTCACATTTGGCTTTCTGACCTGCATCAGGACATTGCTTAACGGATATTAGCAAACCCATGGCGGTTTTCCAAGTGTATATCTGGAAACAAAAAAAGTACATCTGTGCAACACATGCACATTTCCCCATGTTTTGGATCTGCAAGTGCAGAGAGATGCATGTTGATCTCCCGGACACCCCATGAGCTCCTAACTTCCTGTAGTGAGCTGACAACACTACCTCTGCTGCCCTGAAATCCCAAACAGTGCTGTCAGCCCCCTGCCAGAGTTCTCCTCAGCTGAAATATAGAACATCTCTATAGCAAAAGGGGCAGGTGTTTTGTTGTCTAGCAGAAGAGAACTGTGCAGATTTGACAACACTGCTTGGGATGCTATTGCAGTAAAGTCAGGGTTGTTAGCTCACTACAGATAGTTGGGAACTCACTGGATTTCTAGCAGGATGAACAGGCAGTGTACTTGCAGTGTTTTTAAGGCGACAAAAAATGGTGAAACGTACAGGAACTATTTGCATTTGCTGAATATTTTTTCTTTATTTTGCCCAGATATACACTATAGGCAAACCTGACACACCTCGGCAACTAAGATTGGGTGCACAATGAAAATATATACAGGCTGAAGTTACTTTTAGTAATAAATGCACATTTAAAACGCCCAGCAGATACGGGGATATAGGTGTGATGGACCAAACCGTCACTGGGGCAGTTGGAGGAGCCTGGGGGCTAGCCTCCTTCCTACTGACTATGGACTAGGACTATGGAGACCCCCCCTCGGACCTCTTGGGGTTATAAGTAACTATTACCCCAGATTTATGTGTGGAGTGGATGTGCTGCATATTTTCCCTGGCATTACATTTAAGTCACCCTTTGCCCTTTATAGGTACAAGATGTGAATCCAGCAACAATGAAGGGGGTTCATTCTAAACTTAGTAACCTATTGAACTTGTTACAGTCTATTTGTCCATTTGTTTAATTGTGTTAATGATAGGATTACCATAGCTGAGTCTAGGTGTAGATGAGTAGATTAACCTACGCTAGAAACTCAGGAGATAATCCCATCCTATTTGTTTTCCCTCTTCCTATTCTTTCATTAAGGCACCGGGGAGGGGATTGTTTGCTTGATGTTTTGATTGTGTTACGTTTTTAGACAACCAAAACTGTATAAATACTGTGCTGGTTTTCAATAAAGTCCGTTTCTGTTTTTACTTCAACATTGATGTTGTCTGATGTAATCTTTGTCTGGGTAATCTTTATTATTTTGGGAGTTTAGTTTTCTGTCCTAATAGATTGGTTCGGTCCAATAATTAGGCAGGTTTGGACTGAGGACGCTAGAATTTGGGTTCCAGCAGAGAGGAAGCCGATTTCTGAAGGAGGTACCCAGTTGGGGTACCAGACGGTCCATCACAACAGGCAGCTGACCCTAAATGCAAATCTGTAATTTCTCTATAAAAGCAAAACTTGCCCCATCCCACCACCTGAGCCTCCCAGCTGGTCAGTGATGCAGTCCATCACAATAAAGGACTAAGTTGAAGAGCAAATCTGACTTTTACATGAAAAGTTGAGATTTACAAAGAAAACATAACCTGGGTAAATGACAACCTTCACAGATTGTATAGTTATCGTTTTGCCTAGAGTTTAGATTTAAGACACAAATCAACACCGGAAAAAGGAGAGGTCCAAAAGTTTCGTTAATTTTGAAGTGGCTCCTCACAACATTTTTTTTGCTCAGAAGCATTTTAATTGCTACGATAAAAAAGAAAATATGGATTGCCTTTGGTTGTCATGGGGACAAGAAGTGTAGGCTAAAATTACCGTGATCCCTGACTAAATATTATTCTTTTTTTAAAAGTAAAATACAAGAATTATCATGCTGTTCACATAACATCTATTTCATATATTTTTGTGAACTCTCCAATCCTTAGAATGGAAATAAGGGTTCTACTCTTTCAAATGGGACACCTGGGGTCCAAAGTGAAGCAACTATGGGATCACCATAAACGTAAATTAAGAACTTGAGGATTCTTTATGACCACTTCAACAAAGACTATGAAAATTATACTAAAGACTGGTTCCCCAGCTGCTGAAAGTAAATGACACATTTGAACTTCAAGCCAAAAAAATTCTTAAAGATGATTTTGCACAAAGTTAATGGGCTTATCGCCTAAAGAAATGGACCCTAACCAAGCAATGTTGTGTCCTGGTAAAAACTGGAGGGTTACCACAAGTTGGAGAAAAGAAAAAAAAAAGAAGATTTCTGGGACTGCGTTGAACATACCAGCAGAAAAATGCCCGGGAGTCTTTTGAATGCAGTGAATATATTGAGAATTGTTAACAGAATCCAAGATTTGTAGGAAAATTACCAGAAAAAATCTTTACATAAAATTAACTTTTGCACCTCCCCTTGTATTTCATATCTGGAAAGCTAAGAGTTCAGCAGAACAGCTCTTCATAATGTACTTGCCTTGTTCCCCGGCTCCCCGGACATGTGAGGTATCTATGTTATCTTCCTTGTTCTCAGCCACTCTTCTGGTTGTCCTAGTCTTTGTTGGAAGTTCAGGGGGTGGTAAGAGATTGCTGACCGTAACCTTGAGACCTTTTTTCCCCAGCTCTTTCTCCACCTCTGCAGAGAGAAAAGGATTGAGATGTTAAAGCCTCGGTCTACATATTGTAAAAAAAAATGTTAGCATTGTGCTATTGGGTACCTGCACACCATGAAGGAGGACCTTATTTTTTTCTGGCGTTTTCCCAAGCTTTTAGGAAACAGGCATTATAGGTAAACTTCAAGCAGAAATATAATACACACACATACTAATGCAGCTGTGTATTCATTAGGAGATCTGTAATGGAGGATTTTTGACTTGCATGTGAGATTCTCTTCTTGGAGTACAGTATGGAACACAGATTACTTTAATCATAGACCAGAGTTATATGCAGCTTCCTCTCATTGACCACAGGCCCAAAACCACCGAAAGGGAACCAATCCCTAACTCAAACAGCAGCCTGAAGCACCTTACGGTTGAAACCGGAATCAGCAGAGTCATGAACATCTACTCTGTAAAACTATAAACAAATAAACTGAAGGCTAGGTGGTGACCATGCAAATCTGAGAAACAGACACCTAGTGCTGAAAGGCTCAAGAGGCACTGATAGACCTAGTTGAGTGATTCTTAACCAGGAATTGTAGAACCCTATATCCTTCAAGGCATAAACTTTAGTGATGATGTGCCTAATCTACCTAGCAATGGTGGAACAACATGCAGTTCGCCCCCTACGAAAAGGTAATCCAATTGACAGATAGAGGCACTGGCTGTAAGGTAAATGTTGTAATCCTTCACTAACCAAGTTATCTGGACCATCTCTTTCCTGAAAACTGCTCCCCAACCTAACATGCATCATAAGTCCAGGTTGGCAGGCAAAATTACTTCTCCATGTCCAGCGATGGGCAGACCAGCTAACAGGTCAGAGAGATCCTGGTCTCGGAGGAAAGGCATGTAGCTTAAAATAGAGACTGAGGCAATTTGTCCCACACACCCTGAATATTGAGCTAAAGGGGACTTGAGTGGAACTGAACAAACATCACTGCCTTGAAGGAGTCTACCAATAGTAGTTGCACTTTTGCAGTCAAATATAAGAAAACTCCACTATATGTTTGCTGGGTCAAACTGAGAAACAAACATGTTTCTTCTTGTTAACATACAATACTTCTAAGTCTTTAACTCTTTGGACAGTGTCAAATCTTGTTTGCAACTGATAATTAAATCTGCCAGCACAGTACAGAAAGGGTTAATTAGAGTAAACATAACTTTCCACAGCGCTTTCCTTAACAATATATGGGGGGGGGAAGCTAGGTAGGATTTTTATGCAAGTATGAAGCACTTAAAACGGAAGCCAAAATGTTAAAAAGTTATGCTATGTCAATAACAACATGTAACAAATATAAAGTAGGTGTTATACCAATTTGGGTGCAAAAGTGGAAATACACTTTAAGTCCAGAACTCTCATGCCAAACCAGACCGATGGTAGCTTTTTGGAGCGAAGGGTCAAAACCCTTTCCTGGGGAAGAAACACCTGTGCCATGTCCAAGATTAGGCCCAGGTACTCCAGGCAACAAAGTTGGATCCAAATGCTGAATCCACCTAAAGTTTTGAAGAGTGCAGAAGCTGCAAGGCATCATGAAGATCCCTTAGTCTTGGCAGAGAAGGGGGAAGGCATAATGCGAGAAGGGAGGAAGGACTGAAATTCAAATCTGTGGGCACTATGTCTATGACACAAAGATACGTAATGTCCCGAGATCAGGTGGCCAAAAAAACCTTTCCCCACTTGAAGAGGTGCTGCCCCCTCATTGTAAAGTAGGCTTGGTGTCTGGCTTAAGCATCCAGGATTTTAAATGGAACTGCATGGAGGGAGGACTTTGATTTGGAATGAAAGTCTGTGCCTTTTTCTTACTGGGTAAGAATGTACTCTTTTCACCAGTGGCTTCCTTAATAAAGATGTCAAAAGACAGACCAAAGAGTCTTTCGTAGCCTTAAGTAGGCCCTCCAGCCTTGTCTACAAGGTCTTTAAAGAGCAGAACACCCTCAAATGGAACCATCGGGGATTTGTTAAGACTAAAGATCAGCTATCTTTTGTCTTAACAAATCCCTGATGATTCCATGGATCCACCACCAGGACTTCCACATTTTGTGGTAAGCTTTCTCATGAGGTAATGGCTGTGAAAACCTCTAAAAGGGATGTACACCTTGTCTGGATGTGGACAGTCCTCATACAATACATCCTGCACATGGGGGGATGGACTTGAAAAGCATTTGTGGGTTTCTTATTTTTCCTTAGAGAACCGATTCCTGGGGACCTGGGGGTCTTCACATTGGTGTAAAGTCAAGAGTGGCGTGGCCCCAGGGTTCTGTGCTAGGCCCAATACTGTTTAAACTGTTTATTAATGATATTGGGGATGGTGTTAATAGCCATGTTTCTGTGTTTGCAGATGATAGTAAAAAAGGGAGGGTAGTAGACACGGGCGTAGACAGTATAACATTACAGGAGGACCTGAATAAAATAGGGGAGTGGGCATCTACATGGCAGATGAGGTTTAATGCTGAGAAATGTAAAGTAATGCATTTTAGGGTTAAAAACAGGCAGGCGGAATACACATTAATGGGAACTCCACTAGGGAAGTCATAAATGGAAAAAGATTTGTGGGTCACAGTTGACCACACATTAAATAACAGCAGGCAGTGCCAGGCTGCGGCAAACAAAGCTAGCAGAGTATTGTCTTGCATTTAAAAAGGGAATGCACTGTCAAGACAAAGCAATAATTTTTCCACTTTATAGATCACTGGTTCAGCCTCATCTGGAGTATGCGGTTTAATTTTGGTCACCTATCCACAGAAGGGATTCCCTGGGGCTGGAGAGAGTCCAGAGAAGGGCAACTAAACTAATTAAGGCGCTGGAGGATCAAAGCTATGATACAAGGTTGCTAAATTTAAACTTGTTCATGCTGGGAAGGAGGGGCGATTAAGACATGATTTTAATGTATAAAATGTTTAGTGGTGATGGCAAAATCAGCAATAAACTTTTTACTGTAAACTTCATAACAAGGACTAGGGGCCACCACCTAAAATTAGTGGAGAAAAGATTTATCCACAAAGGGCGTAGGGGCTTCTATTCAATTAGAGTGGTTGCATTTTGGAACTCTCTGCCACACCAAGTGGTATCAGCAGAGAGTATTGAATCATTAAAAAAATCATTTAGATATCTTCCCCAGAGAACATAACTTACAGGGGTACAGGTACTCTTAAAAACTAAAAAATCACACAGGGACTCATATACAAACACATGCATGCACTACACACACACACACATAAAAGGTTAAACTCGATGGACCTGTGTCTTTATTCAACCTCCAATACTATGATACTGATCACCTTAGGGCCAGTAGGCAGACACTTCTAGTTTTAAACAAGTGTACACTGTATCCACCAAAACCTCAGTAGTTTCTTTAAGCCTGGGAGAGTGCGTGGCCAACTGGCCTTCCTCCAACAACTCTTGCTCTTCAGTGCCATCTTCCCCTGAACACTGTGACTGCAGGGGACACTGGCTGAGGGCCACTGTGAAACAATCCATTCAGCAATGGGAAACGTGACGCACAGCAGCCGACATGCATCGTTTAACATGGCTCAGTCACCATGCGACACACTGCTCCTGGGCCAGGAAACCTGCTGCACACCCTTATATGTGCACTATTGTACCAAGGGTGAGACGCAAACGCGGTCCAGTGTCTGAACCAACATTACAGGCTTCCCCCGCATCTTCCACATGGCAGGATCCAGATATGTTCCCTCAGGCTTGACAAGGGACACTAATCCAGAAGTTGCAGAACACAGCCTCAGTGGTTTAAGGTGCAGCTAGGCTGAGGTGAGAGTCTTCTTCACAATGGATTTAGAAGTAGACATAGCCAGAAACCAGGTCTTATTAAAGACATCTAAGGACACTTTTGAAAAATGAGGATTGCTTGGAATGAGAGGGGTTGTATGGGCTGCCACACAATTCTGTATGCAACTGTACAATTACTTAAGCATGGCTGCATATTACAACGTGTCTATGATTAAAGGAGTCTGTGTCCTGTACTATATGATTAAGAAATGCATTTTTCTTTAAATACAAGCAGTGTAAGCACCTGAAGCTGACTTGGTATCAACCTCTTGCAATCCCTTTGTATAGCAGAACTCAGACTAGGAAAGGGAAGGACAACAAATGTCTCACAAGGAACAAGCTAAATGGACATGCAAATACCCACAACAAACTAACAGGAGCAGAGATCAGAGGGATAACCTCATCAGTCTGCTGCTGCTCCTGTACTTTCCAATCAGTGAGCTGGAATTGGAGAGATGACACCACAGTGTTCCTTAATTGTAAACAGAGAAAGTGGTTTCATCCTCCTTGCTGTGTGGTGTGATGAGGCTGTGTAAATCTCAGAACTGGATGGACAGAAATACAAATCATGTGAAAGGTAAAGCAGCTCCATTATATGTTATTTATCTGTGTGTTTAGCTGTTTTTCTAGCGTTTAACTTTACAAATGCGTTAAAAGTACAAGTTATCATACGCAAATGCATATGAAACCACATGAAAAATAAAAACAAGCTTTTACAGCCATTTATCATTGTTTCTTACCATCTGATATACTGGACTCCTGGAACATGGTCTCAAAGGCTTGATGAATTTCAGCAAAGGATGGCCGGTCAAGAGGGTTCCACTGCCAACCTGAGACAATAAATAACCAAAAATAATTGGTATCCTTAATATACCTGGACAATGTTATGCATCCTATAAGTCTGCCAACTGTACAAAAGCTATTAAAAGCACACAGATATAAAGGGTCTCTGTGATGTATTATTCCATAAAACAAAATGACAAACACAGCCTTAAATCCCGTTGGAAGATGGAATGGATTCTGGATTTGCAGCTTTTTAAAATAGGGAATAAAGATAAGAGGTAGCAATTGCTTCATTTGCGTGGCCAAATTAACCTATATCACTTAACTTGTATCACGTGCCCCTCCTATTCGATTGTAAGCTCCCACGAGCAGGGCCCTCCTAACCCTCCTGCATTGGAATTGTATTGTAACTGTACTGTCTCCCTTTGTAAAGTGCTGCACAAACTGTAGGCGCTATATAAATCCTGTATAATAACAATAATATATATATATATA